CACAGTTTCAGAGGGTTCAGCCTAGGCTGCTTGGTCCCATGATCTCGGGGAAAATATTATGGCAGTAGGAACACGTGGTGGAAGAGCCTATTCGCCTCACAGTGGGCAGGAAGCACTGGAAAAGAAAGGACTTGGGGGGCTGGGGGCCTGGGGACAACAACACCCCAAAGAATTGTTTCTTCCAGGCAGGTCCTTTCTCCTATCTTTCCCACAACTTCCCCAAAGAGCAAGACCAGGTGAGGAGACACGTACCCAAAACACCAAACTGTAACGGGCATTTCATGTTTAAACCATAACACCGACAATCCTGCTTCAGGTATAGTTGAACTGGCACGTCAGTCGATGTCGGCAGGTGTCATTCCAGCTCTCAGCTGAGTCTCAGCTACATGTGAGAACAAAATGGCAACCACAGGATGGACATTGTGAAGAGGAAGCAGAAAGAGGACAGCTGAGAAACAGCATCTTTTGGACATGACAGGGCAGTGTACACATGAGCTCATAGAAGCTGTGGTTACCTGGCCAAGACCAAGCTAGTCAAAATTCCAGCATGGATGGGGAGGAATCCAAAGCCTTGCCTGTAGCTGAGGAGATACTGGTCATTGATGGCTCTGGGAGGGGTTAGTTTTTTTCAAGAATGTGGCCACTGGTACACTGTTCATGCTCCAGTGGATGGCTCAATTCCCATGCCCATATGGTGTGTGAAGACCATGAATTTGGGATGATGAGCTTTGTGGTACGGGGTCTAGGAAGATTGGAGAGTGGGTAGGAGGTGGGTATAATCAAAGTACATTGCATACATGTATGAAATATCAAAGAATCAATGATATATTTTTTAAAAATATGGCAACTACAAATAACAGTTCAAATCCGGACAGTCAGTGGCCTTAGGTTTCAGGGCAGTGATAAGTTTGAGACACAATCTCAGAAGTCTAGAGAAAATTTTGAATCCTTTAACTTTAAAAAATGTATACATTTATGTATGTATATATGTATGTATGTATTGGTGTATGATTTGTGTGCATTTATTAGGTGTTCATGTGTGTAGTCACAGTGTGTGGAAGTCAAAGGACAAACTTAGGTGTTGGTTCTTGTTCTCTACATTGTTTGAAGTCTCTCATTGTTCACCCCAGCATTCACCAGGTTAGCTGGGATTCTTTTGTGTCCACCTCCCATCTCACTGTAGGAGCACCGAAGTCACACACAAACACACACACACACACACACACACACACACACACACACACATGTTACCTCACTCAGCTTTCCCACGGGCTCTGAGGATTCAAACGTAGGCCCTTGCCCTTGTACAGTAGACACTTTACTCTTGGACCTATCTCCCCTACCCTGGTTACTTTTTATTAGTTCTGGTTGGATCCCATGACTATTCTACCAATGATAGCCAAATTCAGTTGACTGATGGACAGCGGCATGAGTCACACAGGAGCCTAAGGAGCCACAGCCTCTTCGGAGCAGGATAGGATCCCTTAAGGAAGAGATTGGGACCCACAATGAACTCCAGGCAGCAGAATCAGCTGATGTTTCTCTGATTGTGCTGTTGTCATTTCATGGTGGCATTGCTGGGAAATCAGCCAAGAGCAAATTCAGCATCTCATACACTCAAGAGAAGAGACACATTCATTTACAGCCTTCTTTCTCTAAATAGAACACGGTTTAGACCACTGAAGACAGATGCTTGTTTAGTCTGCACTGAGAACTCTACAGCCAAGAGAAATGCGGCCGTCCCTCCATCTGCTGATTCCTGTGGGCTTAGCAATTTCCACTAAAGAGAATCTGGGGTAGGGGCATTTAAGATGGAGTAATGAGCAAGTTAAGGGAGAGGCGAAAGGGCGGTGTTGTTCCATGTTCCTGAAAATCAGAGTGATAAAAAGTGAGCAGTCTAGCTGGGCTCGGTGAGCAGGGCGGGGAGGGTGGCTCACACCTTTAATCTTAGCGCTTTCTCCGCAGAGGCAGGCAGTTCTCTGAGTTCAAGGCCACTTGGTCTACAGGGCAAATTCCAGGACAGCCAGGAATACACAGAGAAACCACGTCTTGAACAAACAAGCAAAACAAGAAATAGTGAGCAGTCCCACTGGTGATAAGGGAGAAAGAATTGTTTCATCTATGAAACAACTGGGTAACTTTGGCATCTCGAAAGATTTTTTTTTTTCCCCAAGGGTTTTATAAGATGACTCTTCATGTTTTCATCATGTACAATTCTGTTGGGCCTTGGGAAGCAAGAATTTGTGTGCCGTGGTGTTGAATTGCTGTGCATTGGTGGGATTGTTTTGTATAATCTGCATGACATTTGCTTTGTTGTTAATTCGTACCCTTTATAGAAAGAAAAAGGCGCATTGTTTCATTCAGATTTCTTGTAACATGAATTTGAGGTAACTGGATGGGGGTCTTGTATACTGAAGTTACCCGTTCCATGCTATTTTATGGGTTTTTAAAGTTGGACAAATTGAGGGATCTGATCTCCAACAAGGAACCTTTGAAGATGGTATTGGACTCTTGGAGAAACATTTGTTTTTGTTACACATGACATCAATTTCCTTTTGAGCCAATTCTGATGGTAATCTAATGACACTAGTTTTTATGAATTAGAAAGCACATTTTTTTTTTTTTTTTTTTTTTTTTTGCCTTACTAACTGAGCTTGAAAGCCTGTTGAGGTTCATACCCAAGTGAGATATTACTTAGAGACTAGCCAACTCAGGGCACATTTGGAGTGTTTTATGACGTGTGGAATCAGTTTTTGAGTTCCGTGGTTGCGCTCCAGTTGTATAGTAGACCTGATTATCATACTTAGAACTTTATATTCACAAGCTTCATTCACTGGGCTAAATTCTCCAAAAGAACAATGAATGCAGATGAAGAGTGCCAGGCCAGGAAGGAAGCTGAGGAGGCAGCTTCCCCACAGTGTAACCTAGGTCCCACTTCGAGATCTGGATAAAGGAACTCACACAAATTCATCTTGCTGACAAAGCTAGAGTGGAACCCCTTAATGTTCTTTTCTTTCATCTCCTTACTTGTAGCACATTCCAGGGTTAGTGGCTGTTTTCATTAAAAATTTAAAAAATGTTCTTGGAGCCAAGAAGATGGCTCAATGAAGAAAGCATGAAGACTGGAGTTCGGATCCCCAGCATCCATATAAAAAGCACTGAGTTCGACATTGCACGCCTGCTAGCTTATCACTGGGAAGGCAGAGGCAGGAGGATTTCTGGACTTGTTTGGCTGGTCTTGCTGAAGTGGTGAGCTCCAGGCTCAGTGAGAAACCCTGCCTCAGCAAATGAAGCAGAAAGCAATGAAGGAATGTGCGTGCCATCAACCTCTGGCCTCCACGCACACGTATGTGCGTTCTCCACACACACCACATAACACGTGCACCTAATGTTTCCAATGTCAGGTGTCATGCCTCTGCAGTGAGGTACCATCTCACCTCAGTGTGGCTGTTACATATTTTCAAAAATGTGCAGGAAAAGAACCCATACGCTAGTGCTGGGAATGCAAGCCAATTCAATGGTATGGAGAACATTATGTATGCTCCTCTAAAAAAGAAACTCAAAAACAGAGCTGTAATTCACTATTTAACTGCTAGTTACATAGCCCAAAGAGGTGAAATTAGCATACCCCAAACATACCTGCACAGCTGTGTTATGTGACACTATTCTCAAAGGCTATAGCCCCAGCCCGAGGGCCTGCCAGTGGGTGAATGCTGAAGAAAATGTGATAGTCATAAACAATAAAATGGCATTTATTCATACATATGCTGTCCTGCCATCTGCTACAAGGTAGCTAGGTAGAAAGGACTATACTATGCCACATATTTCTTCTCCTATCTGGAAGCTAGAATGTCGGCTCCATGTAGAACATTGACTATTAGAGGTATGGAATGATTAGGAAGTGTGGATAAACAGAGATTGGATTTGATTAGAACGCACTGAACAGCATTGATACACATTAATCAAAATTAAGCATAATCAATAACTGACATTATATCAGCATTCAGAGAGGATTATGTGTCCCTATTTCCCAGGGCCCCCTCCCCCCCAAATAAAATAATAACTGTTATAACTTTGCAAAGGTCTGTAGGGCCAGCGCCAAGCATTAGAAAAGATAGAGCCTACTTTTCTTTGTCCCACTGTACTGCCTGAATTACTATCCATGGAGAAACCTGACTCTTCATCTAGGTAGTTGGTACCATGAATGCATTAGTCAGAGGGACCCGTGAATTGCACTGCTCTAAGGATACCATTCAAAGACTCTCTAGTATTAATGGCACCCAGAAAGGTGTAGCCTAGCACCATCAAAGTTCCTCCTTAACATCTGTTGCTCATCCAAAACGTCAGTCCCTGAGGCTGGGGAGACGGCTCAATTGTTACAGTGCTTGCCGCAAGCATGAACGGTGTTTAAGCCACAGAACCTACACAAAACAGCCAGCGCGGTGGCCTGTGCTTGTCATGTGCTGGAGAGGTGGAGACAGGCAGATCCCTGGGGCTAGCTGGCCAGCAGCATAGCGCAGTCGGTAAGCTCCGGGTCAATGACAGCTTCTTCCTCAAAAGCCAAGGGTTAGCCCTGGAAGAACGACATCCAAGGTTGACCTCTGGCCTCCATGTACTCTCACCCATACAAGTACATGTACATCTTCACCTACACCCATAAATACAGCCAGATATACACAGAGACACAGAGGAACACACATATTCCAGACCTCAGCTTTTCCCCCACCCACTTTGGGTTTTTTTGAGACAGGGTCTCTTTATGTAGTCCCGGCTGTCCTAAAGCTCACTACAGACCAGATTGGCCTTGAACTCACAGAGATCTGCCTGCCTCTGCCTGCTCAGTTTCTGGGATTAAAGGCATGTGCCTCTATGACTGGCTCAAACCTCCATTTTTTAATGACTTATTTTAATTTCATGTGAATTCAGATTTACAGAAACATGTCACTGTAAGTTAACACTTATTTTTACACTCTCTTCTTGTTTCTGGGGCTGTAATTTAGGGAGAAGAATTCCATCAAGAGCCCCAGTGCCTTGAGCAGGAACAGAAGACGCTGTCAGGTAGAGTACGGGCCAGTGTGGCTTATCTCTGGCTGGCTGCAGTTACTCACAGTTGGGCTTAGCTCTTTGGAAAGATTTGCAGATGACAGAGGCCAGTCTGACTGCTACCGATGATCGGAAACATGGCTAGAAGTGTCACTGGTGATGTAATCCAGGCAAAACACCTGGACAATCTCACTGTGCTACAAAAACTGTCTGCTCCCTTCCTTGTCTTCTTTCTTGCACTGATTACAGTTATGGGTGAGGCAACACTTGCAAGGGAGATGGTGCTGCGGATGGTGGTAGTATAGGGGGTGATGAAGAAGAATTTCAGAGTCAGTAATGAAGACGGGGAGTTTGTAAGAGCCGGAGGGGAAGGAGGACGCCAAGGAAACAAGGCCCTCTAAATCAACATGGTTGATGCACACATGCTCACAGAGACTGAGGCAGCGTGCCCAGGGCCTGCACAGGTCTGCAGCATGTCCTCTGTGTATACATTATGACTTTTATTTTAATGTTTTCTTATGGGATCCCTGAGTCTGTGAACAAATGGGCCTCTGATCCTTGTGCTCTTTGTCTTTTTTTTGTCTTGTCCGACTCCAATGTGATAGTTTTTAATCTTATTATTTTTTATTTTGTTATATTTCATTATTATCCCTTAGAAGCTTGTTTTTTGTTTGTTTGTTTTGTTTTCTAATGAGAGACAGGAAAGGAGTGGATCTGGATGGGAGGGATGTGGGGAGGAACTGGAAGGGGTAGAGAAAGGAAAAATATAATCAGGATAAATTATGTGAGAAAAAAATCTTTCTTTCGATGAAAAGAAAAGACAATGAATGTAGTTGTTTAATTAAGTACTTACAGTTACTTTGGGAGATGTTATTTAGATCGCTTTGCTGTTTTCCTTTTAAATGTTATTGTGAAGTCAAGTACGTAGTTTTGTTGAACTTATTTGCTTCATAACAGACAAAGTCTGTGTGGAAAGAAACAAAGGATGAGAAAGTTGATAACTTCAGACTGTAACCAGTGCCCAACATGAGAAGCAGTGGTCAGAAAAATAAACATCAGTGGGGAGGACTTCAACACAGCAAACGCTAAAGCTTACAGTTCCCGGCCTTGTTTCCTAACAACTGTTGTGTTGTGTATGACTCAGCACTAAGAGATGGCTCCAGATACGATGGTTACCGGAAGAGGCTTATCGTTTAGTAGAAGTCAGGCAGTAAGGTTACAACACTGAAAGTGATAATGGAAAGATGACGCAAAGTGAGAAAAAAGTGGTGTTCCTCTCTGACATGATGGAGGAGAGGGTTAGCTCGTAGCCAACCATGGTATCTTCCGTTACTTGTGTTTGTTTCTGTGTGGGCTCACGTCGTTGGGTGTGTGGGGTGGTCAGAGGACAGCTGTAGGAGCTGGTTCTCAGCATCCACCATCAGGTCTCAGGGACAGACCTCAGGTTTGGTAGCAAGTGCCTTTTCTCATCGGGCTATCTCGCCAGCACATCATTTCCTTCTATATCTATTCTTCCCTTGCTTCTGTAAATGTATCCCCCCAAATACAGTCATTGCTTCGGCTGAGCACCTCTTCCCAGGACACTGTCCCCTTATGCATCTCCTGGCTCATTGGACAGAACATTAGCAGTAATGTTCTGTCCAGATAATTTCCCTGACCACTTCACATGCCTCTGAGTTGCTCTTCACCCCACCGCCTTTCTTTTTGAGTACCCGGAACAGTTCTGCATATAGCAGTCACTGATCGGTCTTTCCTCTAACCACCCCCCCGATTCTATTTAGACAGGGTCTAATATAACCCTGAACTTGCTATGTAACTGAGGGTGACCTTGAGCCTTCTGCCTCTACCTCCAAGTGCTGGCATTACAGCTGTGTACCACTATATCACCTTGTGTGATGCTGGGGAGTAAGCCCGGCCTTAGGTGTGGCAGACAAGCACTGTCCCAAGTAAGCCATAACCCCAGCCCTTAGGAGCCTCTTGTTAGTGAGTCCTTTGTGTCCATTCGGGTAAGGCATTGTCTTTCTTCTGTGAGATGAAGGTGGTTTGGTGAGGGCCAACTTTGAGCTTGGTTTGGACTTCTCAATTATTTATGAATCAGACATGGTAGTTGTATTCAAAACAATAGAATATGTCAAAGAGACAGATGTGGTTGTAAGAAATACTATGAAATGTCAGTGTCACCAGAGTGTGACTGGATCTGTGAAGAGGAGACAATCAAGTTTGCATTGGGAAACTGTGACCAGAATGATTGTGACAACCTTGGCATTGAGGACATTCATCATGGCGTTTGGAGTTGAGAAGGACGGTATAAGGCAGGGTTGAACTTATCTCTCTTGTCCAGGAAAGTGGTTCCGAGTGTCACCTTTCACGTTTGCCCTTGATTTTCAGTTCCTCAGATAATAATCTCTGTTGAGTCTGCACAAAGTCAGCCAACAAAGAGACCAGGAGACCAGGAGCTTAGAAGCGATATTTGCTCTGTTGGCTAAGTGTCCACTGTAGCTTGGGGACATTTGTTCATACATATGGGAGAGTATTGCCACTTTCCAAAGATTTTTCTTTCATGTGTACATGGTAAATGGGTACATATGTTTGCACAGGTCTGTACCTGTGGATGCCAAAGGTCAACTGCAAGTATCATTCTTCAGAATTTGCAGCTTGTTTTTTTCCTGTTTTTGTTTGCTTTGGGGACAGGGTGAGTCACCGGCTTAGAATCTGCCTATCTGGCTAACTACAGCTGGCTTTGTTAATGGGTTCTGAGGATTGAATTCAGGTCCTCATGCCTGCATGGCAAGCACTTTCCCAGCAGGTCCGTGTCTCTAGCCCTCTACAATTTCCCAAAGTACAAATGACTCCACGGAATCCCATGGTACCTTAGAGAAAGAAAAGCAGGCATTTCATTTCCATTCTGCTAAGATCCTTGTCTTTAGAACCTCTGAGGGCATCACTAGGAATCACCAACATAGTACAAGTCTCCTCAGCAAACACATTCAGAGACAGAACAGCTAGGAAGAATAGTTCTGCAAAAAAGGGAAAATGATGCTTAGTTTGAACTCTAGAATCCCAAGACAGGTAAAGTGATGCACACCTGTCATCCTTGCTCAGAAGGGAAGGATCATGAGCTTGAAGCCAGCCTCGGCTACACAGTGAGTCAGACATTATCTGAAGACAACAGAGAAGAAATGGAAAAAAAAAAGAAGAAGAAGAAGAAGAAGAAGAAGAAGAAGAAGAAGAAGAAGAAGAAGAAGAAGGAAGAACGAAAGAAACTTAGAATCACAATTTCTTTGTGATTATTGTCACTTTAGATTTGGGACATTTGAATAAATGGCTTATGTTTTCTTTTCTTAAAATCCCACCTAATAATTTTATTCTATAAGTGGGGATTTCAAGTAAAGAATACAGTTACTCACTGTTTCTCTATAGACATATTTAAGTTTTTATCTATGTGTATATCCATGTGAGTTTATTGTACAAGTGGGCAAGTGCCCACAGAAGCTAAAAGAAGGCATCAGGTCCCCTGTAACTGGGTTTACATGTGGCTGTTAGCTGCCTGACAAAGGTGCTCTGGAAAAAAAAGAAGTACTCTTGACCCCACAGCTATCTCTCCAGTTGCAGCTTCCCAGTATTTTTAAAATTCTCTGGATTTACTCACTTTGTGCTTGCTCTATAGTCCTTGACTAGGTTTTCTTGCTAAGGAGCTGTCTCTAGTTTCAACCATTTGATTAAGATTTCCTGTGTTTGTGAATCATTCTTTGAGATCCTGTTAGTATAAAGTGGATACTTTGTGTTTGCTAAATTATTTGAAAAATATGAAAGTGTAATATACTCATGCAGAACACTCATTGAATATCATCTATGTGTCAGATTGCATGAGAACTGTGCCATATTGAGTGGCTAAGTACATAATCACAGAACTATGCCTCCTGGAGTTTATAGACAACAAGAAAAGAAGCTATTAAAGAAATTAAAAGAAAATGTAAGCTATACAAATGATAGCCTTTAAAAAAGAAAATGTAAATTATATAGAAGTGCTGAGGAAGTCATCTTCATGGGCCTTATAATTAAACATGGCCTGTAATTTGTAGAGATAGGGAGCCAAGAACAAAGGCAGGATATAGCATGTATCCAAACAGAAACAAGAACAGAGGCCCAGGGAGACAGCCCAGTCAGGAAAGAGTTTGTCTTGCAAACATGAGTACCTGAGTTCAATCCCCAGCATTCATATTTGAACAAATAAAAGCATCTTGGTGTGGTGGAGCGTGTGTGTGCTACCAGTGCTGCAGAGGGAGAGACGGGCAGATCTCTTGGCTGCCTGGTCAGCCGGCCTCGTCGATTTGCCAAGCTCCACTTCAGTGATACTCTGTTCTAAAAAATAAGGTGGAGAGTTGAGGCAATGACTTTCGTTAAAGCATTTGTCATGCATGTAGAAGACCAAAATGCCCAGAAACCATGTAAATGTGGATTGGCAGGACAGCCGCCTGTAATTTTAGGCTTGTGAGGTAGAGGTAGGGAATTCTGCCAGAGTAGGTTGGTGAGGCAGACTAGTCATATTGGTGAAGGCTGTTCTTGGTTTTGAGACCCTGCCTCAAAAAATAAGGTAAAAAAAACCAATAAAGAAAGATTCCCAGTACTAACCTTTGACCTCCACACATGTGAGAACATGCATGCATACACATGCCCACCATACACACATGAACATAGAAAGAAGAAAAGTCAAAACAGCAACAAAACCAGCAAAGTAGTTAGTAGCTGAGGACTGACCCTTGATGTTGTCCTCTGATTGACACATGCTTGTGCATACAAGCTCACCTACACACAAAAACATGTACAGGCTTGTACATATGTGAACACACATGAGCACATGCCCACATACTCAAGAGTAGAGGGCACTGGAGAACTCAGTGGATGACATGGCCAATTTGGGGTGTTCAGGAATTTTTCTCAGAGAATATGACATATGAAGCAGGCTACAAAGATGGAGATAGAATTCATTTGTCAATAGAGATACTTTAGCAAGG